GGGGGGAGGGGGGAGGAGGGGGTTACTTAAAGGATATGCTTAAGGAGAAATTAGACAAATACTACTATGATTAAGATTATAAAATTTACTTTTTTATGGGGTGTAAAAAAACCTTAGAATAATACAGGGCAGAGGTAGTAAGCATTTGGGAGTCCTAAATCTACAATTGTCCCTTGACAGATACCTCAATTCTCATTGTCCAGCAACTAAAAATTTCTGTGCCAATAGTATTTAGCATTGATGAGTAACCTCCTTCCCAGCTTTAATACGCTTGAAGTACTTTTTCCAACGTTAATACGCTTGAAGTACTTTCACTGTCTTCATCTCTCCATTCAACTTGATTTGGATGAACATTCAAGATTCCTGGCTTGTTCGGCCATGGACTCGAGCCATATGCATGCAGGGAACAATCACCCACATCAAAAGCAAACAAAAATGCATATTATACAGTAGAGATTGAAGAACTTCCATAACATTCTGTTAACTTCATTACTATTGACAGTTCAGCAAAAGGGAAGGGAGGAGGGGGAAGAAAAGTTAAACTGATGCAGCACAGACTTGACTGGAGAACTTTGGCGCCTGGGTCATTCCGTCCTACATGGCATTGAATAGCACATTCCGCACACATAGAAGCATCAGACGAAAATATCGAGCAAGTATAGCAAAGGGATGTTGCACTGCCCAAATATCCATGGCTTCTGAGACTAAATGACATCCATCCTAGTCTTTTCCAAAATCAGCACTGTAGTGTGCACTTGATTCAAGTTTCTTTGCTTCATTCAGTTTACGAACAGCCTAAGAAGTTTCAAGGAAATCATAATTTATCACATACAAGCTGATAAAGCTTCAGAGAGAAGTGAACAGCAAGAAATTGTTGATAATAAACCGATAGTTGTATGACATAATTTACCTTCATAAAATCTTCATGTATAACATAATCTCTTTCTGCACGGATAGCTGACATGCCAGCCTCAGTACATACATTACGGAGGTCAGCTCCATTGAAGCCCTAAAATTTTGAAGAAAAAAAAGCAGCTAAAATTATGGGAATGATGTTCATAACAAACTGACAACAGAGAAGTTCCAGACTCACCTCTGCAAGCTTAACAACAGCTTCATAATCAATCTCACCATGTTTAGCAATTCCAGCAGCATGAATTTTGAGAATATCCATCCTTGACTGCTCATTTGGCAATGGTATTTCTATCTTCCTGTCTAGACGACCCGGACGAAGAAGTGCAGGATCAAGAACATCAGGCCGGTTTGTTGCCATAATCATTTTTACCTGCAACAGAGGATTGTTATAGTCAAAGATACATCTTAAGTAGCAAGAACCCACATAAACTGACACGTAAGCCATGGCTAGAAAAGAGCAATACTATAATTGTGGGCAGATATTCTCAAATGTTCTTATCCAAGAGTCTTTGGCAATGTTGCACAAAATCAAGCAAATAGATACCTTGCCAAGCTGATCAAACCCATCAAGCTGATTGAGTAACTCCATCAGTGTTCTTTGAATTTCCCGGTCAGCACTTGTTCCCTCACTAAAACGTCGTCCGCCGATTGCATCAATCTCATCCATAAAGATTATGCAGGGCTAAAAAGGAAACAAATTATAAGCAGAGAATAACGCAGCAACAACAACAACATACCTAGTAATATCCCACCCCGTAGGGTCTGAGAAGGGTAGTGTGTATGCAGACCTTACCCCTACCTACTTACCCCTACCTGGTTGGGATAGAGAGGTTGTTTCCAATAGACCCTCGGCTCAGGAAAGCATAAGCACCACATTAATGAAAATATAAATAAGGAACAGTACCAAAAACCATATAGAAGCAAAATAAAAACAACAAGATATTAAGGTAATCATCAGTGAAAGAAAACAACGGTTAGTCATAAAAACCTACTACCAACAGAAAGCGAGACTGCGTGTTAATGCTACTGTTATGAACACTCTAGACTACCTACTATACTACCCTAATCCTCGACCTCCATACCTTCCTATCAAGGGTCATGTCCTCGGTCAGCTCAAGTTGCGCCATGTTTTGCCTAATCACCTCTCCCCACCTCTCTTCTTTGGCCTACCTCTACCTCTCTGTAGGCCCTCCAATATTAACCTCTCACACCTCTTCACCGGGGTGTCTGTGCTCCTCCTCCTCACACGACCAAACCACCTAAGCCACGCTTCCCGCATCTTGTCCTCAATAGGGGCCACACCCACCTTGACGCAAATAACCTCAATTATGATCCTATCTAACCTGATGTGCCCGCACATCCATCTCAACATCCTCATCTCTACTACCTTCATCTTCTGGACATGAGCGATCTTGACTGGCTAACACTCAGCCCCATACAACATCGTTGGTCTGACCATCACTGTGTAGAACTTACCTTAAGTTTCGGTGTCAATTCTTGTCACACAAAACACCGGAAGCGAGTCTTCATTTCATCCATCCCGCCCCAATACGTGTGTGACATATTCATCAATCTCCCCATCCCCCTAAATAATAGACCCAAGGTACAATAAAAAATTTGCATCTAATTTCTGCAAGATAGAGTTCCTTACCTGATGATCGCGTGCATAATTGAACATCTCCCTTATCAGTCTTGCACTTTCACCAATATACTTATCAATAATGGCACTTGATACAATCTACAAAGCGATAAGCATGGAATATGAAATGAATCATGTCCTTTTTCCTTATCTAAGAGCAAGACAGTAATAAAACCAAAAGCAACATGAACAGAATATGATGCACCAACCTTCAAAAAGTTGGCATCAATATTACTAGCAATGGCTCTAGCTAACAAAGTCTTGCCGGTACCAGGAGGGCCGTAGAGCAGAACACCCTGAAAGATTTTATGATGTTAAAGAATTAATTCTGTACTTCAGATGTTACATATCATTCATTATCTGTCAGGCATTTTTTAAATGCACACGCATAAGATGGATAAAAGAGAGAATGAAGGATCAGTAACCTTGGGAGGTTTGATTCCAACTCTGAGGAACAGCTCAGGATTCATAAGAGGTAGCTCAATGGATTCCCTAAGTTCACGAATTTGATCTGATAAACCACCTACAGCAGAGTAACTAATATTTCCCGGATCTTCATGGAGCATGTTATAAACAACT